CTTTTTGTGATCTTTATAACACAGTGTTCTGTGGATTTTCATTTTAAGTTCTTTTGTATATAAAGTATACAAATTTTTAAGTTGTTAAAACTTTTTTTTCAAGTTATTTTAATTCATGTTATTATTATTTTGTAAACATTTGAGGAATTTAAAAGTTTATTAAAATTTAGGTTTAAAACTGGCAGTTAACTGAAAATTGAATAAATAATTTATTTTTTCATTTAGACAAGCTTTTGTTGCTTAAGTACAAATATTAATTATTTGTTTTTAAGTTATTAATAATTATTTACAAATTTGACTTAATGAGATGTTTTTCTACACACACATATATATATATATATATATATATATATATATATATATATATATATATATATATATATATATATATATATATATATATATATATATATATATATATATATATATATATATATATATATATATATATATATATATATATATATATGATTTGCTAGAAGTATTTTGTTAGTGTGTATTTTTTAATACGCATAATCTTTGCATAATATAAACTTTATCTTAACATTCTTTAGCAAATTTTCAAATACTTCAATAATAAAGGCAGACATCAAATTTTTTTTAAGCCCCACAAATATTTCTATTAAATTTAGAATTAGCTTTTTTAAAAAAATAAAAAGCTTTGCATTCTAATTTGAATTGGTAATTGCTTCACCAACTTTTTTTAATAATATCAGATTAATTCCATTTAATCACACATGGGTTTGATCTTTACATATATAATAGGACTTCTACATTGGCTGGTGTTTTGTCTAATGTACCACATACTATTATTTGTTTAATACGAAATTACAATAGAAATGTTTAACACTTGTTTAATATTGGTAGTTTGAAATTGTGATATCTATTTAAAGTTAAACTATATGAGTGTTTATATATGTGAATATAAATATATATATATATATATATATATATATATATATATATATATTTATACGTTAATTTCTAATTTTATTTTTATACATGTATATTATGATTTTGTGTATATTATTTTATAATTAGTAGATTTGTAGCAATTAATACTGGTTGTTAACTGGTTATAATCAAATAAAAGTTGAAATATTAAAGATTCAATAGTCTTAATGTTTAAAGTTTTAAGCAAATTGTTTTTGATAATAAGTATGTTGATAAATAATTAAATATATTAACAATAATTAGGTGCTGTCATTGTCAGGTATAATACATTGCTTTAGTTTCAAAGATATATAAATAAAGATGATTTTTGAAGATGAAGCTAAGTAATTAAATTTATGAGCATTTTATCTCCAATATTTTTAGTTATTTATAAAGTTTAATGTTTTAGTTTTGGTTTATGTGTTTATGTAATTGATATAAATATTTTGCAATTGCGAAAGTCAAAAAAACATAAACATTGAATGTTAACAAAAAGAAATGCTTAATATAATTTTTTTTTTATAATACTTAACTGTAGCAAAATTTAAGTTTTAATTTTTAACTAGCAATTATTATCAAATGTTATTAGCATATTAAACAAAAGGCTTTTCGCAACTAAATTCAGCAACAAACGAAAGGCTTTTTGCAACTAAATGCAGCAACAAACCAAAGGTTTTTTTACAACTAGATACAGAAACCAGCCATCTACAGGGTTTAACAATCACAAAAATAATATATTTCACTTTTTTTAGGATTTTAAGTCTTCAAATACAGAAACTGACCGAGAAAAAATCTGTTAAATACAGTAAATATAAAATAAAAAAGTTCAATGATACATGTTTATTAGTATTAGTCAAAACTAAAAACAAAAATACGCTGAAGAATTTCCATCAGCTTATTTTTTTCAGTTGATCAGAATGTGAAAGGGGTTTAGTCATACAAATATAATACTTTTCTAGAGCAAGATTGACCATTAATTTAACAACAGGTTACAACAACACTACACAAATTATAATACTAAAAACTCATCATGCTAAACATCAAACAAACAAGAAGAATTTTTTTATTGCTCTCATTGTGGTTTATGGAATCTGTTAGATTTAATTATTAGGTTTTGATAATGAGGTTAGTTGAACCTAGATAATAATTAGGAGCACAATAGTTGAACATAAATATGACTAATATGTATTATAAAATAATAAATTATATCTATAAAATAAAGTTACTATTTTTTTATTTTATTTTCTACCAGTCATTGTATGTATGTAGTTTCTGTTAGCACAAGTATGGAGCCCCAAATTTTCTCTATTTTATTAATTCATTATCAGTGATGCAATGTGCAACCCTGCATCAACATCAAATTATGTTGTTATTTTATATGCATATTTGTATATACTTAAACAGGTGTTTCAAAAAAGTTTCTTATATTTTCAATTTTTGCTGCCATATGAAAATATTGAAAAAGCTGATAACAAAAGTCAAGCAAAAACTTGTTATCTAAAGAAAAAGGAAATAAGATAAAATGTTGAACTTTTTTTTTTTGTTTGTTATACAATTCAGCTAAATATATTTAAACTGATATATAATTTTAGAATAAATTATCTATTTTATTTTTTCTTAGTAAAAATAGTTTATTAAAAAAATTATTATTGCATGGTTCAATGGTTACTTTGACATGAAATTACCTTGTATGTATTTATCTCATCTTTGACCACAAGGAAGGTTACTTTTAAAAAATGAAATTTTTCATCATCTTGTATTGTGTTTGTTCAAAGAGAAAAATGTTTTGGCAAAAAAATGGTTATAAATATGGTGATGATAATAAGGTTGTCATCACAGTCAATGATAATGATGATAATGTGTATTATTTAGATTCATTTTATATTATGCAAAATGGCAGATCGAACTGGGAATTGCAAGATTTTTGCAGCAAACTACTTTAACCCTACAAAATGCCAGAACTGTTTTAAACAAAAAGACCAACATCCGACTCAGGAAGAAACAAATAATATTGCTAACAATAGTAGCAAACCTTTAACTACCAAAGCATCTGTATGTCAATTTTATGATTATTTTTTATTTTTAAATATGTAATATGAATAATAAGAAAAAAAAAAATTAAATTCTGCCGCATGGTAATGTGTTGATTTTTATAAGATGTCTGTTAAAATTTAAAGTTTGTTTAAAAATTTTTAAATTGAAAAATGAAAGATAAGTTGTATTTTGTTAAAAAAGTTATTTTATCAATACAGTCATAAGTATTTAACTGTATTTAATTTGTTATACATAATATATAAAAACAATTTTATATATTTGTTTAAAATTATTTAAAAAAAGTACCAGCCTTCCCAGGAAGCTTGTGCGACCAAAGTAATTCAAAATAATTTATTTAGACACACTGATCATGGCAATTTGTCTTTTTTAACTTTAAAAGTGTTTCAATAATTTGTAGCAAAAAGCTAAACTTATCTACTAAGAAAAAAGAAATCAATACTAAAAATAGGAAACAAAATTGTAACAAATTATCAAATTTTAATTAAACTAAAAAAATTTTTTAACTAAAAAAAAAGCATAATTTATAACAGTTTTATAATTTTATAACAATCGTATGTTTTTATATGCTATCTATTCATGATTTTTAAGATACTAATTTGCTATGTATGCTAGAACTATGAGAAACTTTGTTCTTTTTTTTTTTTTAAAGGTTTATTCCTTTTGACGACATTTTGTTTTTAAAAATGTTTTTGCTACATTTGACGTTGTTTCTCAATACTTATAATATAGGAAATCAGAAAACAAATTGCTATTTATTTGTAAAATATACTATTTGATTAAAAAATTTTGAAATGACAGAAATTAAATAGAGGAATACTATGGTTTCTTTTATAAAATTATTACAAAATTTGTTTTTGTCTGAAATTATTTCCTTTATATTGCCCAATTTTCAACTTTAAGACGAAATACTAGAGATAATGAACATGATTGCTCTGTTTTAAAAAATGTATTTAAAAACTTAAAAAAATATTTTGAATTAACTACTAAAAATTTTGTTAAAAAAGGTAAATAAATTAATAATACGCTAACCCACAAGCTTTACGTTTTTCTAGCAAAAATAATATTGTAAGTCCTTAATATACTGACTTTAAAACTTCTAAATTTTATATCAAAAAATGATTTTATTTTCATTATATTCTCATCTGCTTTCTTTCTCAACTTGTATCAATTTTGATAGTGAAAAAGAACAAATGCTTAAAAAAAAAGTAAACAAAAACAGTGAAATATTTAGGTATATATATATATTTTTTTAACAATTTTTTTTTTTTTAATTTGCAATGTGTTTTGTTTATTTTATTTAGATATTCTATTTATACAGTATTGGTTTCCTTTCTTCAAGTAATGCTGTTTTATTCTCTGTAATTTCTTAGAGCTTTCATTTGCCGCGAACTCTTAAAACGATTACTATATAAAAATGTTTTAGGTTTTTGCACAAGCTATTTTTTTATTCATTACCTGTTAAATACAAAATTTGGTTTTATACTTGGTAATGCATATGTTTGTAATGTTAATGTTACAAGAGTATATGCATAACAAGTATCATTTATCGCACCGTGAAAAAAATCATTAAACAAGGATTGACTTTAGGTTTTCACACTAGCTATTTTTATTAACAAGATTACTTATTTAATAAAAAATGTGACAAAGCTATAAAAGTTTTTACTGCTTATAAAAAATGTGTTTCTTATTGTAATAAAATGCAGGCATTTTAAGAATTTTTTTTTTTTTTAATTTTTTATTTTAATTCACCTCCTCAAGGCCGAGAAGGCCACTACAGACGAGGAGGCTACTTATTTGTGGTTATAACCCTCTCTCAACTCTATAACTCCGAAACACGAACCTTGATGAACAAGGCCGCTGCGCGGAGAAACGAGTTGAGCGCGGTACTACCAGGGACGTGGTGGGGATTGAACTCGGAACCACTCGTTTATGAAGTGAGCGCACTACCACTACACCACTACCACATAATTACAACAATAAAAAATTCCACAATAAAAATTATTACAATAAAAGTGAATAATATATTAAAGTAATAATTATATAAAATATATAATTTATTACATAAAATAAAAATTATAACAATAATTTAGAGTGTAATAATTTTTATTTTATCAGTTAAATAATTTTTGGCAACACATGTGCCTTTTTAAAATTCTTTGCAGTTATTTATGCAATTATTTTATTTTTAAAAATGACTATGCGTTTTTCATTTGATTTATAACAATAATTGTTTAATTTTATAAATTACTTTGAGAACTTGACCTTATTGTCATAAATGATTTAAAAATGATTTAAAAGGTATGTCAAAAAAGGCATACAGTTCTAAAAAATTAATTTAGCTATTTCATAATGTCCTATAAAAAATATATTATAAGAAACTACCCGAATCACACAACTGAAAGTACAGGTGTCAAACATTTAAAGTAAAAAAAATTCTAATATCTGTCAATAGTAAGCAATTAACTTTGCTATAGCTTAAATCTACATAACATCTTTTTGATTATTTTTTTATTATTTATTTTTTATGTATATAAATCTATTATCTATCCTTGAATTAAATGAAATATTGTTGCTATATTTTGCTATTCTTTATTTTATTTTATTTTTATAACAAAATTTGGTAAGGTTGATAAGTTTTTCCTTTATCAAATTAAGTGACGCTTTTCAGTGTTGGTTTCATTGTTTTCTCATGAATTATTTGATGCACATTTTTTGAATAAAAATGACTGTCTGGTCAAATCAATTGTTTTCTGATTTGTCATAGCATTCTAATAAATACATTTTTATAGTGGGTTTATAGCAGTTATCATAAATTTCTATTTCTCTAAGATTAGAGAAATAGAAATTTATGATAGAAATATAATTTATGATATTCTTTTATATCACTCTAAATTTATCTTTTAAATAGAAGCATGCTTTTATTCTAAAGATAAATTTAGCGTGATGTACTTTATGACCTTTAATAAAAAACTTAGACAAAACACTACAGAGAAAAACTTAGACAGAAATATAAAAAGAGATTTAGATTTCTTCTAAATCTTTTTTTATATTTCTAAGTTTTTCTCTGTAGTGTTTTGTCTAAGTTTTTTATTAAGGGTCATAAAGTACATCACGCTAAATTTATCTTTAGAATAAAAGCATGCTTCTATTTAAAAGATAAATTTAGAGTGATATAAAAGATAAATTTAGCGTGATGTATAAGTTAAATTTAGCGTGATGTACGAAAGTAACTTACAGTTACTCAACTATTAAATTTACTTATACTCTGAGACTTGCAAAAATTAGCCATATAAATATATCTATTATTAACTTATATGTTGTTATCGCATAATATTAGCTTCTAACTAAAAATTATTTTAGCAAGAAATCTCGAATAGAATATGAAAAACACGATAATAATATTTTAATAATATTTAAATAACGATTTTAATATTTTATTTATCAAGATCAAACATTTTCTGTAAATACACAAGTTGTTTTTAGGAATTTTATTTAAAAAGAAATCTATTTGAATAAAAGAATTTTAGTCTTTTAAAATTTTCTTGTTTAAATAATTTTGTAATTGAAGTTTAAAATTGAAAAAAAATTTAAAAAATTCAAAAGAAATTTTAGAAGGCTCAATAATTATAAATATAATTCAGCAGCATATGTAATACCCAGTCCTTAATACCCACCATAGCGAGAAATAGGTTTAACTTTCAGCAACGCTGAAAAGTTAAACGTATAAAAGCTAAACATATATCTAGCTACAGTAACAATATCAGATTTAGAACAGTGTGCAAATGAGGAAGAAAGTTGATTTAAGTCGTTTTATTAAATGTTTTGAATTATATTTACTTTCTTGAAAATAATTTTAAAAGTAGAAATATTCTATTGCAAACATTAAACTAGTGATTGCAAAAGTTAAAATAAAAATTAAATTATGAAAAATTTAAATTTAAATTAATAAATTATTTTACTTCTGCTCAAAAAAATTTTTTTTCTAAATAAATAATTTGAGCATATTCTTAAACGTAGAGCTCGTCCATAAATTATGTCATGCAATTTTTGACATTTTTTGATTTTCATTCACCCCCCTAAAAAATTTTTTTAAACAATTGTAAATATAATATGTCTATAACTTTCTTTGAGTTATTTAATTGGTACTTTTCAGTCTGTTTATTGTTTTTTTTTTTTACCCCAATAATTTTTTGTAAAATTTTATAAATTAACAATGCTATCCTTAACATGGTCCCAATTTTAAATGAATGTTCTTCCAATTTAAAATATTCTCTTGATTAGCAATATTAGCCGAGTGGATTTCGCTTTAGGCTTGTAAACCAAGGCTTGAGGTTTGTCTCTTGGAGTCAAAATTTCTTTATTTTTTTTAGTGCACAAATGTTGTTGCTGCACACTTTTATGCACCAAATAAATAAAATGCTGCACTTGGACTATATAAAGTCAAAGCACAGAATGTGCACTGCACATTGACTGTTACAGCTGTATGTTTCGATTTATTAAACCAAATTTTTTGTTTCAAAAATTGAGGTCGGCAAATTATTGCTGACCTCAATTTTTTTAATTCCAACCTAATAAGTTTCTAGTATTGATATATATGTATATATATATATATATATATATATATATATATATATATATATATATATATATATATATATATATATATATATATATATATATATATATGTATGTATATATATATGTATGTATATATATATATATATATATATATATATATATATATATATATATATATATATATATATATATATATATATATATATATATATATATATATATATATATATATATATATATTGACCCTTACCAATTAGTTCAGAACATTTTTTAATGGTTCTTCGTTATGTTAGACAAAATATTATGATATTAAATTCTGTTGTGTATTTATTGAACATTTGTAATCAGTTTTATGGCTTCTATTTTATTCTATGTTCTTCTTAATATATACCATATTTTATACTGTTTAAACAAATATTTTTTACTAAAGTTGACTAAACATGACTGTATGTAGTAAAAACATGATTTAGAAATATTGAAAAATAAATTTGAATAAAATTTGAGAAGTTTTTTTTTAAAAAGTAGTCATGCATTTGTGCTACTAATGAAAATTAAGAAATGGTTTCATTTTTTTTTATGGAAATGCAAACAGATGGAATAAAAATATTAATATGAAAATAAAAACTGAATGATTATAAATAGAAAATTAAATAATTATAAATAGAAAATTGAATAATTATAAATAGAAAATTGAATGATTATAAATAGAAAATTGAATAATTATAAATAGAAAATTGAATAATTATAAATAGAAAATTGAATAATTATAAATAAAAAATAGTTTTACTTAATTTAATTATATCTATTTAAAATTTTTGCAAATTAAAGTGGACATTTTTTTTTTCAAAACAAAATAAAAATACAACAGAAATAAACAATTTAAAGTTCAGTTTTATCATTAACATTATGATTTACTTATTTCTCAATAAGAAAATTTGAAGTTTGTCATTGTGCATCTATTGTTATTTGCATTTGATGTTGTACTGGATTTTTTTTGCAATTTTTCTAGACATTTTAATAGATCAAATACAAATTTTTAAAAATTTACTGTATTATCAATGCATACATTAAATTTTTTTAGAATACAGGAATTTCTAAAGCTCTGGTAATAGAAGGCAATTTAGAACGATCATGTTATATAAAGGGAACACAAAATCTTGATGTAAGGCTTGTCTATATATTTTTTCTTTCTAATATAAAAAAGATATTGTATTTCAGTTTTCAATTCTTTTTTATTTTATTTTCAGAGTTGGAAGCTATATTGGTTTTGCCTATTTTCAAATGGAGAACTTCAGTCCTTTGATAGTCCGCATAAAAAAGTTAGTTTTACAGTCCACTATTATTTGGTTACATTATATGGTTGTTTTAATGTTCATTTTTTCATCTTTTCAAACAGTGTTGATAAACAGCGTAAATCTTCTTGCCTCCACTTTTCTTCCGCAGCAGACAGCTGCTGCCTCCCAATCAATTTTTAGCAGCAAAATGTTCTTTCTTTTGCTTCCAGTGGCTTCTGCTTTTCTATTGGCGGCCGCAGCCGGAGTTTTTTTTTGGAGGCAAAATGTTTTGGAGGCCGACGCCAATAGAGATGCGAAAGCCAATGGTGGCTGCCTCCAGAAGAAATTTTGGAGGCAGCCACCATATTTTTAAAGAATATGTATCTTTTAATTAGGAATCTCCAATTTCAATCTATTTGAATGATTACATTCGCATGCTTAATGGGAAAGAAGAAATTGGAATAGATTTTGCATTTGGGATCAAAACTCTGCGTGACACTACCTTTTTCAAAGCCTCATCCAAAGTTGATTATGTGAACTGGTGGAAAGAGTTCAGTACTTTTATATCAGCACCTTTAAAAAGTAAATTTTTTTTTTATCTTCCATTAGCAATAGATTACAGTGCAGTTTATGTTTTGCAAAGTCTAATTCTACAAAAGTTTAGAGGAACTAAAAAATCACTTGATAAGAAAAATATTTTTATACAGTACAAATGTTATAAGGGCATATATGTTGTTGATTGTTGATTTTTTGTTGTCATTTAATAGTTTGTAAAATTGCAAAAATATATATTTAGAGAGTTCAGTTTTTATTTTTAGATTCTCCTGCAAAGCAAACATATTCAAAGCCAAATACATCACACTCTAATCCATATTCTAGCCTTTCAAAAGTATCTGCCTTTTCTTCTCGTTCATCTTCTGTGTCATCTCTGCACGAAGCTGATAGTTTACAGGTATTCGCTATCATGACAATTATTTTTGTTTAAATTTTTTTTTTTTACTTCAAAAATTTTACACATTTATTTTGAACTTGCATTTAATCTTTATATTGTATAATAGACACATGTTATTGATTAATAATAATGAACTCACTAATAAGGTTAAATTGTCATATTAAATACAATACATTGGTTGGGTTTAAATAAGCTTCGTGTCCAACTAAGAATTGTTAAATGTCATAATTTGGTAATATGTTACCATCTATATAACTTTTTACAAGGATATTTTACAGGTTTAACTTTGAAATTTCTAAAAGCTCAAGTGTTGTATTCAATTTTGTCAAAAAATATTTAAAAATGGAGTGACAGTCTATTTTTAAATAATATTGAATACAGAGCTTGAATCACGAATAATGCAATCACATTTTGGGGTTGTATGTAAATTACATCACACACATTTTGAAGGGCGTCCATATATTTTTTTTGTATTTTTTGAAATTATTTTTTGTAATACAATTAATTTTAGTCAAATTAATAAAAAGTAGGATAAATAAAGGAATAAATTATACTTTAGTTAAAAAACTGTGTTGTTTTATAATTTTTTTAATGTTAAAAAAATCTTTCAAAACAATTATAATCAATTAAAATTGTTTAAAAAAAAAAGTTATTGAATTAAAGTTATTGAGTTAAAGTTTTGGGTACTAGTTGTAGACTAATGTAATTTTAGTTGCTGATTGTAGACTAATGGAGTTTTGTTTACTGATTGAATTGATTTTATCATTAATTGATTATTTAGATAAAATAATTTATGAAGAATATTTTCTTCTGAAAATAGCACCTATGGTTTTAATTTTTTTAATATAATAAAATCTTTAAATTTTTCATCTTCATAAGTAATTTTTTCATCTCTGTAAGTTATATTTGATGTATTTGGGTAAGATTTCAAAATTATTAAATCATTCTTTTTTAATTGCAGTACTAAAGTTGCCCTTGATGGACAGCACTCTTCTTCATTTCCAATAACATCTGGGGTACAACAAAGTTTTTTCTTAGTTATAGTATCAATAGTTAATGAATATTTGCTCTAGTTAATTATCTGATTGTTTTTCTGAAGAGTAAAATTTTTTTTGCAGGTAACAAGTGTCATTTGCAACTTATACATTATTAAAAATGTAATAGTTAATTAACTAATAAAATTTTTAATATATACATTTATATAACAAAAAAGTTCTAAATATAATTTATATAATATAACATTTTTATACTTTCCATACTTAAAAATATAAAATCACATGTTATAGTAAAATAAATACTCAATAAATTTCCCATGAAAAATATATTTTGAATGACTAAATTTAATATATAAAAAGTATAAAAAATTCTATTCAACTAAATTGTAATTTTTAAATCAAACTTCATTTAAAGTTACCATATAAATTTTATTAAACCTTTTGTATTAAATAAAATATGTTAGAAGAAAATAGTGAGTAATTAAAAAGTAAATAAAAAAAGTGAAAAGAAAATTCACCTACCTCAGTTGTATTATGAAATTTTCATATTAATGTAAAATGTCAACAAGAATTTTTTTTTTTTTAATAGCTCAAAAAAGTTTTTTTTTTTTTTTTTTTTAAACTTATTCCAAGATTTTACTAATTAAATATGTTAAGAAAATCCTATTAAAATATTATCAATTAAAAGTAGGATAAAAAAAAACATACAGTGTTTTAAAAAATGAAAAAAAACTTAATTGTAGAAATTTTTACAGCTTAAAATAACAACTGAACAATGTGTTGATTTTTTTTTTTTTTTTTTTTTTTTGCTTATGAGTTTATTCAAATAAATATTTTATTTCTAATAAAAATTTATATACTTTATAATTATATAATTATTTCTTTTTTTTTTTTTTTTTTTTTTTTTTTTTTTTTTTTTTTTTCAGTTTTTTTTTTTGCAATTTTTTACTCTCTCCCTAAATTTTACATGCAATATACTTTTATTTCAAAAACATCTTTTTATTGTATATGTTAATTAGAAACCTGAAATTTCCATATAAAGCTGAAACTTATTTTTGATTAGACTATAGATATTATTTTGTATTACTTATATTATTTATATATGTATATATTAACGAACAGCCTAAAAATTTCATATTTAAAGAAAACTGAAACTGGCATTTTTGATTGGATTATAGATAGTTTGACTGAGATTATTTGTAAATAAACCAGTTGGAGTATTTATTTGTAATGTGTTGAATTTCAGTAAAGAAATTATTTGTGTTAAGCTGTTGGTTATGTTTGCTTTGTTGAAAGCAGCTTTGTTGATTTTGCTTTTTCTACTTATTTGATGGGTTTGAAGTTAAACTATTTTAATTTTATCTGACTTGTTCACCTTTAAAAGCAGATTTTTTTTAAGGCAGAGTAGATGAAGGATCATAGTTTATCATGGTTTAACTATGGAGGATTTTCATAGCTTTGACGATGAAGAGGTTTAAATATTTTAAATAAAATATTTCTTTGTGAAAAGTTGAAGTTTTGAGAAATAAAGTTGTGGAATAAAAATAAACAACTTATATAGCAGTTTATAAATAAAGTAGATAATTTTGTTTTAGATAAATTAATATATATATATATATATATATATATATATATATATATATATATATATATATATATATATATATATATATATATATATATATATATATATATATATATATATATATATATATATATATATATATATATATATATATATATATATGCATTTGTATATGTATATGTATATATTTATATATATATATATATGCATATGTATTTATATATATGCATATGTATATATATATATATATATATATATATATGCATATGTATTTATATATATGCATATGTATATATATGTATTTATGTATGTATGTAGATATGTAATTTTTTGTTATGATATTTTTATTAAAAGTTAACTTTATTCTCCATTTTTTAATTTCCTTATTATTATTATTATTATTATTATTATTATTATTATTATTATTATTATTTTTATTATTATTATTATTATCATAAAAGATAAAATAATGATAGTGATAATGATGTTTATCATGGTTATTATGATTATTTTGTTTTATAATTTTTGAAATTTCATTTGATAGACAGATGCATTACGCAGCAAAATTGCTAAACTTGAAGAAACCAATAGCAAACTATCAAATGTTGACACTGAAAGAAGAAAGCTTCAATTAGAAGTGAATTACTGGAAAGAATATGTTACAAATTCACAAAATGCACGTAGATCAGGTCAAGTTGTAGATGCTAATACAGACCTTGCTGATGTCCGAAAGCAACTTATTCAAGTTCAAGATGAACTTAACGAAACAAATAAAAGGTTTAAAACACAAAGTGGTAAGTTAGTTATACAAAACAAAGAGTTATCAAACTTAAAAGAAAAATTGCTAGAAGCAAAATCTATAGCTGCTGTATACAAAGCAAAGAATGAACAGCTCACTGCAGAACTTTCAAGAAAAAATGGAACTGTATCGCCATCAGAAGATGCATTTGGAAAAACAAGCCAAAGATCATTTGATGAAGATTCAAAACTCTCATCTACACATGGTGCCCAACATTTTGAAGAAAAATTTTTAGTCCTAAAAGATAAGTTAAAGCGAATAGAGAGAGAGTTATATTTGAAATCTAAAGAATTAGAAAAAGCAAATGAAAGTCGCTCAAAGGTTGCTAAATATACACGTACTTTATTACAAGAACTTGAAACTAGGTTAAGTGATGCTGAAACAAAGAGTGCAGATTTGGAAGTAAAGTTAAGTAATGCCCAAGCAGAGCTAGCTCTTGAAAGGGAGAGAAGACTGAAGCAGGAGGATGGCTCACAAAAACGTTCTAATAGTTTTCCATCAAATGATGCAAAGTCATCTGGAGAACATTCTAGTTCTGAGGACTCAAAATATGCAGATTATTATCGATCAAGATATAAGGAAGTTGAAGCTTCTCTTCTTGAAAAAGACAAACAGTTGCATGAATCTGAGCAGAAGATAAAAGAAATGCAGCTGTCCGTAAAAAATAACTCGGATAACTACAAAGTAATTGCCGATCTTCAAAACAAACTTTCAGATGCAACTCACAAGTTAAGTGATCGTCAGTTAAAAATTCATGAACTTACTAAAGAGATTGATAATTTAAGGTGTATTGAAAGTACTTATGAGCGCAAAGCAAAACAGTGTGAAACTCTTGAAGATATAGTGAAAGATTTGGAAACTAAATTGTCTGATCAAAAAAAAAACTTTCATGTAGTTAAGCAAGAGTTAGAAATGTTGCGAATTAGAGAATTAGTGTTAAAAGAACAACTGCAAACTGTTGCACAGGAGTCTGATTACTCTGATGATGACGATGAAAATGATCAATTACAGAAATCTGTTGAAATGAAACAGAAAATTGATAATCTCATTGAGGCAGAATGTCTTATAAAAAAATTAAATCTTGACAAAGAAAACTTAGAGAATAAAAATAAAGAGTTAGAAAGTCGTTTGCGAAAATTAAACACAGAAAACTTCAAAAACATTGAATCTTCAAAGTTTTCAGAAGGAAAATCATTGGATGATAATGATAAAGAAGAATACAAAAATCGATTGAAAGAATTGGAAACCAGAATTTTTGAAGCTGATGATAAGTACTTAAACAAAATAAGAATCCTAAAAAATGAACATCAACAAGAAATAGATCATATTTTAGACAAACACACCGAGGAGAAAACTTTATTTCAAAATAAGATTGAAAATATTCAACAAGAATTAGATCAATGTCGTAATGAGAATAAAACTCTGGTTTCACGATGTAAAGAACTGGAGTCGGCACTGAATGAAACTGAAAGTAAAGTTCTTGATGAAGTAAAATCACATACAAATACAAAACTGCTATTAGAAGAACGTTCTTGTTTATTGCAAGAAATCGAAGAGCGCTGCAAGAGAGTTTCAATTGAACGTGATACCCTCAAGATGCAATTCCAACGTCAAGAAAGCCAAGATGGTCATGAGTTTACAGAGGAATCTCATTCTGAGGCTAACAGAATGTCAAACAAAGTAAAAGAAACAACAGAATTTGTTGATGGGAGAAGTCGATCAAACTTTGCAAAAAGAGAAAGAATTTTTTCCTCTGATGATGAAATATTTCTTACGCCTAAAACGAGTACATCGTCTGAATCTGATACTGCATCTTATAAAATCAAATGTCAACAGTATGAAAAAGAGTTAACTAGTGTAACAAAGCTTCTAGTTTCTAGTGAACAGTCATGTATTTCAGTTGCTCAAGATTTAGAGAACCAACTCAAGTACCAAGAGGATCTGTTAATTAAATATGAACTTTTGGAGTGCCGCATGTCAGAGATTGAGAACCAAATATCAGATTCTCAAGAAACATTGCAGCTTAAATCAGATGAGCTTGAAAAAGAAAGGAAAAATGTTTTGTATTTAGTTGATGTTACAAGTGCATACATTAAAAAGCTAGAAACTTCATTAGCAGAATCAAAAGCAAAAGTCCAAGAACTTCAAAATTTTATTGAGATATCTAAAGAAGGAAAAAGACCTCAGCCAGAAGGAAGATCTGATCTTCCTGATAATATTAAGGAAGATTCTTTCAATGAAGAAAATTGCTCCAATGAGCAGTTGAAAACAATCAATCAAAAGCTTACAACAAAAATTTCAATTATGGAAAAGGAATTATCTGAGTTACGTTTAAAGAAAGATGACTCTCAAGTAATTCAAAAGAATGATGAAAGTATAGAAGAGTTGCATCTGGAAATTGAACACTTGGAAAAAGAACTGCAAGCCCAAGAAGTTGCGTAGGTTTACTAATTTTTTTGTGATAATGGTAGCCTTTAATTTTATTACACATTTTTCAATATGTTTTTATTACAAACGAATATTTGCAAAATCAGTTAAGCTATGCTGCACAATACTTTTTACATAGTGATTTTCCTAGATCATACATCTCTATCTTACATGGTGATCTTCATTTTCTCTACTAAGATTTTTAAAAAGATTTTATATTTTTTACAAATATTCGTTTTGTATTGGATCGTATATTTCAAAGGTTTAATTGCCTTTGTTACATAATTTTTGTTATATTTATTCCTTTTTCAGTTAAATGATATTATTTTAGACATCAAAAAGAAATAGACATACTTCAAGAACACTTTCAAGCAGAACTTAAAGCTGCATTTAGCGGTGATACTGGAACTTATGATATGCTCAATAGAATTCAAGAGCTTGAGATATGTCTAGAAGAAACAAGAACTTCTTGCAACAACAAGATCAAAGAAATGAAGCAAGAATTTGAGCAAGAAAAAGAACAAATGATGGATGACATGGCTACTGTTTTGCATGTAAGTGTTTTACTTCCTAGTTTGTTCTAATATTATGAAAAATTGTATTCAAAAGTTTTTGATATTTGTCCAGGCTAGTCAGAATTCAGATTTTCATAGCAATAATGAAACAAGGTCTGGAACGGTAGAAGAACTTGAAGAACGTATTATGAAACTTGAAGAACAGTTAACTGAACAAAGGGAGAAATTTGAAGAGGAACTTCAACTAGAGAAGGTAAAACATGTATATGTATTAATATTGAGTTATTTATTACTGTGGATTTTATTCTGTATTAACATGTATTACAGTTTTATATCTTTAAATATCTTTATTTTCTGTATTAACATGTATTACAGTTTTATATCTTTAAATATCTTTATTTTCTGTATAAACATGTATTACAGTTTTATATCTTAAATTTTTTACAAAAAGAAGAATAATAAAAGGTATTGATTAGATGGTTCAGGTTTCATACTCATTGACTGAGCGTTTATGTTTAGATAATGGATATGTACTTATGATAAAAAAAGTTATTTTTCTTTAGTGTTCTTCTTTTTCTTTTTTTTTTTTTTTTTTATTTCAAAATTAAATGTTCACTTTATAATTATCAATAGTATACCAAAGCTTAGCTATCTATTTCAATATGAAGTTTTGTGATTATTTGAACACAAAAAGTTTTTTCATTAAGTCTCATTTTTAAGATATAGCCTAACTGCTTTTTTTTTTTTTTAAGATATAGCCTAACTGCTTTTTTTTTTTTTTAAGATATAGCCTAACTGCTTTTGTAAGAGGTTTATCAGAGTAAATCATTAAATTGGGTGCTAAATTAAAAATATTGTGATCTTTCATCCTCTTAAAGTATTCTAAATAATTTTTGTCTTTAAGAAATTTAAGTTTTTGTTCTTTACTTTACAAGTTGCATTACATACAGGTCATACACATTATAACACATTTTTTTAGCTACTGTGATTAAAATTACAGATGGTTGTATTGCATGTGTACAATCAGTTGTGTATTTTCATACTATTATGTAGAATGATAAAAATTGATTTATTAATTTTTGAAATTGATAGAAAAGTTGACTGAAAATTGAATGGAATCAAAGGGAATTGAAAAAAAAAAATTGAAAAGAAAAATTGAATGAAAACTAGAAAAATTGAATGAAAAACTTTAGTTTAAAAAATTTACAACTGTTATATTTAATTATATAGTTAGTTTTATTACTATAATTATTATAATTGTTTACAATATGAGGATGATTACAAAATCATATTTACAAGAAGTATTGTTGTTTGGAAAATTGCATTAATTCATCTCAGTATGTTATGGCTGTTATGTTTTTTATTTTACGTTTTATTAACTTAGGATGCTCACACACAAGACATGGAGGATACTATTCGTGATATGATGATGGTCAGAAATGCATCAACAAGATATGATGGCTCAAATGATCCTGTGAGTCTTCATTCTTAAAATTTTTATTTTATAATAACTCATCTAAGTTTTAAAAAAAACAATTAAATAAATAAAATAAATATTAATTCTTCTGATTTTAAATGCATTATAAATGTTAAATGTTATATATTAAATGCAGCAGTAACATTATTTTTGTTCTTAAAGTCATCTAGTTGCTGTTTCTGAGAATATTTTATATGTGTATATTTTAAGAATGTTATTTTAAATATATATCTTTTAATTGTTGAAAGGGACTTTTTTTACCGTAAGTCTCGTTGGACTGCCCTGTATATATATATATATATATATATATATATATATATATATATATATATATATATATATATATATATATATATATATATATATAACAGAATTCATAGCTTTATATACTATCTTTATTAAGTTAATAAAAATGTTGTAATAAAAAGGAATGCAAAATGTAATTAGTTGTGACCTTAATGATGAATTAAAAAACTTACATTATGTAGAGTTTATGTTTCCAGAAACGAAAATTAGTTTAACATTTAATTTGAATTTGAGTACTTTTTTATTGAAAATGTTAAAAAAAAAAACTGTCAGGTTTTTTAAGAAAAAATTAGCCAAGGACTCTGAAGCAGCCCATAAAGCCCTTTTAAGTAAAGTGCCAAAACTAATACATTCTTTTCATTCTCCAAGATCTCACAACCTTGTGAATCAAACATTTTTTGTGATGAAAACTTTTTAAAAATATCTTGTGAGGCCTCCACTCTGTCTCAATCTAACCATAAGAAAGATAATGTGAATAACCCTCTGTTGTATAATTCAACGTTTTTAGTTAGTTTTGCCCCCTTCATCAACTTCATCCTTGGACAATGGTAGCCAAAAATCTCAGGAAACATTAAAGAAAAGCAAAAAGTCTGAATGAAATTTAAATCCTATAATTGTTGAAAGATATGATAGTTTCAATTAATTACAACAGATTTTTTGCACAACTCCAAAATTATATTTTTGGAAAAAGAAGGAATCCCATTTTATTGTGAGAAATGGATCAAGACAACAATCAGGATAAAAAATGAACAAGCGTTCAATTAAGGTCTTATCCAACAAATTACCAACATAACAGAACGGCAGAGAAGCATTCTTAAGAAAATAGTGTCATTGATTATTTACTTGGCAGACATAATGTTGCATTCTGTGAAAATTCATAAAAGCTGCGCATTTAAAACAATGGGAACTTCCTTGGTTTTATCAGATTAGTTAGTCTATTTAGATCCAATTTTGATCGAGCATTTACGGTGAATTGAAGATGGAGAAATATATTTACAAATGCCAAGTGTTAATATTTAAAATGAGGTCATTAACCTTCTTAGTTTCGCATATAAAAGAAGCTATTATGAATGAGGTAAAGTGTCGAAAGTATCTTTTAGTTATTATGGATTGCACTCCAGACCTTAGTCACAAAGGCCAAACTTCTCTAACCATCCGCTACGCTCATGATAAAAATCAAGCAATAGTTATTGTCTAAGAAAGCTTTATTGAATATGCAGTGTTTGAAGTGTCGACTGGCTCATTCTAACTTTCTAATTGAAGAAAAAAAGTCTCGTATGCTAGATCTAAACAACTGTAGAGGTCAAGGATATGATAAAAGATCTAATATGGTTACAATTCAAAAAGGTGTTTAAGCTTGAATTTCAGCAGAATACCCACAAGCCTCATTTACACCCTGTGGTTACCACAGCTTGATTGTAGTTATATCGGATGCGGCTAAATCATTTGGTGAAGTCTATATTGCTATTTGGAGTTTTTCAAAGAATCTATACAACATTTTTTGCATCAATCAAGTGTTGCCCACTTCCCTAGCACTAAAGAGTCTTTCAAAAATGATGTTTTGTTGCACCTAATTGGCACTATTAAATCATCTTTAGAAGACAGAATGGACAAGATCTCCAAATACGAGTCAAAGTGGGGATTCCTATTTGACCTGTAATAACTAAAGGACAAACTTAAAGAGTATTATAAAATTTTACAAAAATATGTGACTGTGTAAAACATTAAAATGAGAAAGAACTGTACAAAGAAAATTCTACACGTCAATTTGATAGCTACTGCCTTTTGACAAATGGTGTGAGCAGTAGCAGAAGATGGCCAACAAAACACTATTACCATTAGAAGCACTCAATATAATTCAAAACACCGTCAATAAAGACCTTTTTATTAATTTTCTTGGACTATCACTGACTTCTCATAGAAACCTTTAGTGTAACTTTCTTGCTCCTGATTCCATTCACTACCTCTACAAATCTCTTATTCATTCCTTTATGTAATACTATTGTCATATATGGGCTGGTTCTTCTAATGATGTTCTTTCTTTTCCAGACAAGGTTCAAAAATGCATTGTAAATGTAGTAGTAACCTTCTCCATCTGCCAAACTTGAGTCTTTTTCTCATCATCCTAAAGTTGCATCTCTTTCTCTATTCTACAAATAAAGATTTAGAGAAATTTTTATAGAGAAATAGATAATTACTTTTACTATCATGGTTGCTGCTCAAAGGAGCTATCATTTCTAGTTCCATCAACCAAAACTCATCATCCAGCAAAATCTTATCCTTTTAATGTGTCTGTCTCTCCTATCTTCATATTTTCCTGACTCATGCAACCTAAAACTTTTCAAGTCTTCAGTTAACTGTTTCCTTACCTTTTAACTATATTCTTTATTTTCTAGTGATTCCGAACTTAATAGTAGTTGTTCTCAGCCTTGTTGTGAGTGACTCTGAATTTATAAAAAAACAACAACTTATATGCATGCATAACAAAGGGTGAATAAAAGAATCGCAAATCGCTATAGTCTAAAGAAATTTAGCAGCAATCAAATTGAAGTACATTTTCCATTCCAGAGCTTTATGTTTTCCATCATAGCTTTATATGAGTAGTGCAGTTATTTAACTAGATTCATATAGTTGGATAATTTATGGTTGCCTCGGAATTTATTTTGCATATAGTTTGATGAAATGCCAGGATGAAGTTACCAGTGATATGTTATACAATCTGAAAGAAAAAAGAACAATAGGCAGCGCATAAAAAAGCAGTTAGGTGAACTAATCAATTTATATACACATAATTAAAAAAGTATTACTTAAGCATCTTTGAAGTTGAAATTTTTTTTTTACTAATATCATTATCTAATTTATAGAGTTAAGAACTTTTGTTTTTAAAAGATCCTAATGTCTTCGAAACATCTTTTAAACGTTTTCTAAATGTTCTATTTAAAAAACATTAAAAGTTTTAAAAATATTTACATATTTAGAACATAACTTTTAAAAACAAATGTCCATTGGGTACAATGTCTTTGACATGCCATTTAGAGAAAATCATAATTTTTAAAAAAATTATGATTTCCTCTAATTGATATCAGCTTTAGATTTAAAATTACCACGGTCGAATTAGTATAAAGAAGATAATGGCTTTCATAATTTTTTTTTAAACCTTGAAATTTGTTATACAGCGTATTTAGAGAAATGCCCCTTTTTAAACAATGCCTCTTTACAAACATGAGGTTTCTAAGCAAATCTATAATTTTTGTAGCAATATTGTATTTTTATTAAGCCCATTTCTAATTTAATGAAATTTTTTGTTATCATAATTATTATTTTAATATTTTTGTTTTATATTAGCTTCTTATGCATTTGTTTCTGTGTTCGCATGCCATAGCTATGGTAACACATAATTACTGGAAAAGATATTTGTCTCTGGAATATTTAAATGCTAGCTTTTAGAACCAGAGATCAGAGATAAATTTTATTTATATGTGTTTAATCCATGTAATATGGAGTATATAGCTGGGCTGGTTTAGGTATAAGTTCAGAGAGGAACTTGTTATAATAGTATTAAGTAATACTTGATTTTACCATACGATACATAGAGTACTAATTTTTATAATCTATGTATGTGTATTTAGTATAGGTTTGTTTATGTGTTTATATATGTGTGTGTCTTTGTTTTTTTGTGTATGTATATGTGTATGCAATAGTAATGTTTAGCATGTACACACAGATATATATATATATGTATATATATATATACACATATATATATATATATATATATATATATATATATATATATATATATATATATATATATGTATATATATATATATATATATATATATATATATATATATATATATATATATATATATATATATATATATATATGTATATATATATATATATATATATATACATATATATATGTATATATATATATATATATATATACATATATATATATATATATATATATATATATATATATATATATATATATATATATATATATATATATATATATATATATATATGTATATATATATATATATACATATACATATACATATACATATATATATATATATATATATATATATATATATATATATATATATATATATATATATATATATATATATATATATATATATATATCTCAAGACCCTTAAACATCAGACCGGTCCCTAATATTTTGGAAAAAAAAAGTTCTTTAAAAGCATATGATGTTGGATCTCAAATTAAGGGAAATTTTATAAAAATTTAAAAAATAATAAAAAAAATTATGGAAACACAAATTCGAAAAAAATTATTAAAAAAAAACTATGAAAATATGTGCTTTTTTATCTTTTATTAAAAAATGATAGTTTTAAAGCCATAAAATTTAAACTAGTAATCTTTATATAAAGTAATTATTATTTTTGAAATTTTTATAAAATTGCACTTCTTTTGAGACCCAACATGATATGTTTTTAAGGAACTTTTTTTTTTCAAAATATTAAGGACTCTTCTGATGTTTAAGGGTCTTAAGAGATTCCTGAAAAATTTTTAAATTTAGTACTTATTTATTTTATATATTTTATATATATATATATATATATATATATATATATATATATATATATATATATATATATATATATATATATAAACATACATTCATGCATACAAACATACATACATACTTTTTTTTATAATTTTTAAAAATTTTCAAATTAATTTATTTTATCGATCACTCTCCTTTTTTGATATCCTTTAAAAATATTGTTGCTTTATAAATTTGGGTGTGGTTTTTATTATTTGTAGTGAAGTTTTTTTTTGTTTTTGTTTTTTTAGTAGGGTATACTAGTTATTGTGCTATGAATAATAAATGCAATTGATGCCATAATAAATTTAACTTTTTATTTTTCTTAAAATAATTCTTTGTTTTTTCAAAATATTTGTTTATTGTTACCTCCCTTGGAGAAAAAACTTTCCCTCAGCATTTCATTTTTTTTTTTTTGAAGGTTTTTATTGCTCAGTCTAGTCCAAAAAACACTTTTATTGAAATCATATTTCTTGCATTAAGTATAGCAAAAAATATTTAAGATAACATTCTTAAATATATTTACAAAACATTCTCAAAAACAGCAACCAGATATTTTTTAGAACAAAAATAAAGTTACTGCTAAATATAAATATATAAAATTTATAATGCATTTAAATCAGTATTTATGATGATTTAAATGATGTTTTAAATAGATCACAATTTTAATTCTTTAAATCCTTTTTATATATGCGCTTTATTTATTACTTATAATGCTTCTTGGTTTAATAAATAAAGTTCAAATAAAAATGCTTTCCGTTGATGTATAAAATATCAACTGAATTCAAATAATGTGTCAGGAACATTTCTCTGTTCATCTTCCGTCGCATGAAAGTTATAGAGTTCTGTCTTTTTTTTTATGTTGTAAGAATTTTGCAATTAAATTTTTAAATAACAAATTGTAACAAAATATATATTTAAAAAATTATATAAATAATACTATAAGTTTAATTATGAAACATAAGTGACATAAACGACGCATAGTTTATAATTATAAAGAATAACAGCAGTAAAAAATTTTAACTATCAAATATTGAAAGTTAAATTTTCACAACATTTCACAACCAGAGTAAACTTTATAATTCTCATGCGACATGTTGTTTTGTATCTATTTTTGTTTAAATTTGAACTGTTATTTTTTAAAAAAGTCCCACAAAATAAAAATGCATAAAATAAGTTATTTATTGTGTTATCGAAATTTTTTTAAAATTTCGAGCGATTTATAAAAAAATTACTAGAATGACTTGATATCACTGACGCGTGGATTTACTTAAAAGTATATGGTCTATTTTGTTAGCCTATTAGTTTGGTTTTATTAAATTTGAAGTAAGTACATTGCTGTACTTTTGTCCATTTCCTTATTTTGCCTTCGAAAAGAATGTGCAAGAACGGTGTGTGCACGTTTGTTATTTCCTAAAACCAGGCAAAGCTGATCTGCGTTAAAATGCTAATTTTAAGTTTTAAGTTAAAGTTTTTAACTTAAAACTTAAAATTAGCATTTTTAAGTTTAATTTTTAATTTAAAGTTTTAATTTTATGTTTTAAGTCAAGTTTTATTATTATTTTGTTTTTGTTTTTTTATTAATTTTTTTTTTCGTAATTACTACAACAAAGATTTAAATATTGCCTGTTTAATAAGTTTTGAAACATTTTTGATTTTTTTTTACAATTTTAAATACAAATCAGTTTTCACGATTAACGCTCATTTTGGGAAATCACTTCGCATATGTGCCCTCATTGTGTTCCGTTACATTCTGGAATGACGTCTTATTTGCGCCTAAGTTTTATCTTTTCAATGTTTTTTATTCTATATTATTGATATTGGTTTACAAATTAAAAAATCTTATAAAATTAATGTCATAAAGGTTTTTTATTTATTATTCTTAATAACAGAATAATTGCAATTATATATTTATTATACTACATTTTGAGATTATTTGAAATAGTATTTTATACTACAGTAAAGTGATATTTTTGCATACAAAACATCGAAATTATGACGACAAACGACAGAAATTATTTTCCTTGTAAGTGTGTTTGAATTTCGTTGCAAAGTTTAAAATTTGACGTCATTAATTGCGCTTCTTTATTTTAAACTGTGTTTCTCTGTCATAAGCATATAAGCCTTTGACAAGTCATGTTTTTTTTGTTGTTGTTGTTCAAATTACTTGACTAATTATCTCAATATTTTGATTTTTCGATTTGAATGAATTAATCTGCTATTTGTAATTGGCATTCATTATCGTTATAATTAAATTGAGCGGTTTAAAAAGTCTTTGGTTTTTTGTTATCTAAATGTAAATAGTGTTTAAAAAAAGTTGTAATATAGTTATTAATGTATTCGATTTTATTTTAAAAATATTTAAACTCTATATTAATAAACAAACGGGGGAAACAAAATAGTTAACACTGCATGAAATATAAGATTTGACTGCGTTGGAATGCGTTCATTCTTTGTCTTCGATCGTTGCAATAATATTTAGTGTTGTTTTAATAAAAATATATGCAGAAAAACTTGAAAAAGGTTTTTTGGGTATTTTTCTGTTTAAATGTATTGATATATTATTAAAAGGTGGAATTAAAAAATATTGCATATGATGATCAAGTATATAATAAAAAATTGAAATAAATGCATCAAAGTTTTGGTTTTTTTTATTGAGTATCTTGTTCTTGATATTATTTGCAGATGCAGTAAACAAATATTTTGAGAATTGTCAACGTTCTTTTTTGACGAGTTTTTTTTTTTTTTTGTATCAGTTTTTCACCTAGTTGTGGCTAAGTGAAAAAAAAGACATTAAGTTTTTGCAAACATAAAAAAATGTATAGGTATGAATCTGTCATTTCTTACTTTAAAGTTACACCATGTGTTGGTTTCATGCAATGTTTTGGAATCATTTTTATTGAAAATGCACTTGTCTTTCAAGTTTATTTAAAACTTGAATGACTTGTGCATTCGCTTAAATAATAATCATACGGCTATGTCAATCTTTTAACCATTAATTGCGTCATTTAACTTAATCAACGTTAAATGTTTTTTAAATGGCTTTTAATTTAATTATGCATTGACTGATTTAAGATTTATACTTTATTTAGAAACAGCATCGCAAAACATTTTTTTTAAATAATAAAAACTTATTAAAAAATGTATGAAAAATTAAAAATTTTAATAAAAATATTAATAAAAACTAATACAATAAAAAATAAACTTACACAAATCAAAAAATATAAAAAAAAATTTAATAAAGTTTTGATAAAATTAAAATTGCTATTTTGATAAAATGACCAAAGTTTTAAAGTTTATTGTATTTTCAGTTTTAATGCAAAATCATTATTTTTGTTTGGTGGTAGCCGTAATCTTCAATTTTTGTACGCAATTTACTTTTTATTCTGCAGATTTTACTTTCATTATTTTTTTTTTAATACAAACGCGAATGAAAATTAAAAACATTTTGATTTTAAATGTTTTTTTTTAGAAATTGTTTAATTATAATATTTTAATTCTTAAAAGTAATTGCATGTCTGCTATGCAACATTTTAGTCTGCTTTGCAAATTAAATTGTCATAACATCCACTTTTATGCTAATTAGTAGTTTAATAGCATCAAAATGTTGTATGATTGTATATTATGTTTAAATAACCAAGCGAATGTTACAGCAAATATTACAAACTGCGTTACAAAATTCATGTCAAATTCAACTCAAAATTTAAATTCATCTAGAACTTTTTTTTTTGTATCTTCAGGTATTTTTTTGTATAGTATTCCTAATGTTTGCTTTAAGATTCCATCCTTTAAATTTATTGCCAGAGCAGAAAAAAATATGTCGGTTGGATGATATTTCTAATATATTGCACATGCGCAAACAGAGCGTGTGGTTGTAATTCGTTTAAAGATGATTCCGTTTACTAGACGAAGAATCGTGCCTCGACCAAAACTTTTTAAGGTATGCCAAAACTGATGAATTTTTTTTACTAAACTAATACTTGTTAATTTTTTATAAGATCGGAAGCGCTCCATATCCTTAATAAAATCTTTGCAAAATACAAGCGTTTAAACTGGTATATATATATATATATATTTTTTTTTTTTTTTTTTTTTTTTTTTTTTTTGCGTGTCTTAAATTTCGCTGTTTTTTATAAAAAGTTTATTTTTGGTGTTTGACCAGAGCTTATTTCACAAACATCTGTTAATTAAAATATTTACATGAAAATCACTAAACAACTACGTTATTTGTGATTGTTTATCAGTTGTTTTTATTTGTAAAAACAAACTGTAAATTTTAATTTTCCTTCATTTCAAGTTTTAGCAGAAATATTTTAGGAATTAACTTCTAAAGCGTTTAAATTATTTTATTTCTAAATCGCTCAAAGTTTTATTTCTAAAAAATTTATCTTTTTTAAATTATCAAAGTTATCTTTAATGTTATTAAAAAGATTAATACCTCGGAATTTCTTCCAAAACGCTATTATTGGTATTTGAATTATTAATCAAAAACTTTTTATTACGATTGATTAGTGTTGCCATCTAAGGTAGATTATTTTTATGCGTGAACTTTGATTTTTAAGGATGGCTCTTTGTCGACAGGATTGCATTCTTCAAATGAGTTGGAAGAATTAAAGTTAAGTTATGAAACCAAGATTCAGATTTTAAATGAGGAACATGAAGATCAATTGGATCAAGTGAGACGAGATATGGCAATTATAGTGTCTTCTATAACTCAAGGTTTGTTTTTGGTTTACGTATGTAATTTCGGTTTAAATATTTTAGCCCAAAAATAAATCTTTTCATGCTCAGAAATTATGTTATATTTTTTCCTTACAATAGGAAGATCTTCCGATACTATAATGGAGCTGCAGGCGCGTATCAAAGAGATGGAAATGGATATGGAGGACATGCGTGCTGATCGAATTGCAGAGATTGAAGAGTTTCGGCTAAATTTAAAACGTGCTGAGTCAGCAACTTTTTTTGCAAACAGGCGTAACGAAGATATGGGGTCGAAAATCTACAATATGCAAAATGAAATGGAAGAAATGGAGCGCAAGCATCAGATGATTGTCCAATCGTATCAAGAAAAGCTCGAAAGTTTAGGTGTAGATGTTAATGTAACTGGAGATGCTATGAAATTTCACAAAGAGCTTGAAGAGAAAAACAAACAACTACAGTTAGCTCTTGATAAAATCTGCAAAGAGCGTGATTTAGAGATGGATGCCTTCGTTCTGCGTTTGCAGGAGGAAAAGCGACAAGCTATTCAAGAAGCAACGGATAATACATTGCGCCTCGAGGAGTTAATTGACGAAATGAAAAACACTCATGAACGGGAAAAGAAAGAAATGCAACAGTCTCTTTTGCCAGAACGCAGTGAGTGCTCTGTTCTAAGAAAACGAATTGAAGAACTTGAACTTACATGCGAAAGCCTTAAAGAAGAGTATGAATTAGAGATTGAAGAACTAACTAAAGAGCACAAAAAGGAGGTGGAGAAGCTGCGTTTATTTTACGAAAAAGAAATAGCTGAGGTTAAGCGCGGGCCTTCTGTTCGTAAAACATCTGTTGATCATGGCTCTTTAACGAAAAGTATTTTGAAAGAACAAAAAGAAAAACATGATAAGGAAATGGAAAATTTACGTCAAAGTTTTGATTTAGAACGGCGACAGGCAAAGATTGTGCAAGAACGTGAAATTGACGATATTAGAATGCAATACGATGAGAAATTAAAAATGAGTTATCAAGATGGAATGCGTCGACAAAGTGTTTCTGAAAGAAAGTCTGACGCCACTAAAATACGCGAACTTATAAGTGAAAAAGACAATTTAGCTACTAAGCTACTTGAATTAGAAATAAAATACGACAAGGAAACGAAAGCATATTTAGAGAAAATAAAGAACTTAAATGCAACTATTGAAGAATTGAAAGGCAATAATTCAAATAAAAAATTAAATAGCGATGGTTCGTCAAAAAGTTCGTTAACATTAGATGAAGACGAGCAGAAAAAGCTTGAAGAAATTCAGGAACAAATTAGACGATACGAAAGAAGAATAGATTATTATCAACAGAAATCTTTGCGTGAAAATAGCGCAGAAAGCGAACGCGTTAGCGAATTACAATCTGACGTAGTAAATTTACATAACGAAATGGAGACTATAAAAAATAACCGAAGAAAAGCTGTATACGAAAAAGAAAAAAAAGAAAAACGTAAATATTTTTCTTTTTTATCTAGTTTGTTCAAATTAACTTCAGCGTTTATGCTATATTTGTTTAAGCTTACTTTGTTCCGTTTCATTTTTTTCATATATCGGCTTTGTGTTGTAATGTATACACATCAAAGTGTATTATTATCTAAACTTTACGCTTGCTGGGTTTCCTTTTAGCTTCAATTGGAAAACAAGGAAGGCGCAATACTGATAGTTCAGCTTTGCGTCGTCACACAGATACAGAGGCTGATAAGTATAATCCTAAAAAAGAACGTGATCCGCGTCAAAGGTGGTCCGATCTTGAAGAACGTACTGAAGTTATTACTAGATCTATTAGCGAATTGGACGGGAAGCGTAATCCTAGACTTACTACTACGGTAACGGTAAAATTATTTATAAAAATTCAAGCATAATTTTAGACTATTAGAGTTTAATAAAATGAATTTTTTAATTTTGTTACAGAAAGCTGAAGGGAAGTCAGGTACTGTACTAGCTCGAAAAACTTTATGGGAAAATATTATTGAAGAGCCAAAACCTCGTAAAACAACCAACTCGGATGTAAAATAATCTCGTTTTGCATTTTGTCTAGTAACGTCGGTGGTTGTTACACCGTACAATTAGGTATGAGGAGAAAACTATGCTGGTAAAATTTCTCCGCTATTTTCGCGCTAATACCTGTACTTAAGTTTACATGAAGAAAAGGTTGTGCGTTGCTAAGGAATCTACTGGACAGTTTCATTATTCTCAAATGCTGTTATTATTAGTACCTGACTCTGCAAACGGTTATTTGCAATTTTTTTTTTTTTTTAATAATTTTATTTTTTTGTGTTAAATAAAAACGAGATTTTATACAAGGTCGCCGGTCTGTAATTTTGTAAGTGGTCGCCGGTCTGTAATTTTGTAAATGGTTGCCGATTATTTCTTAACTAATACTCGTCCCTAAGCGAGAACAAGTTGCGCAGTATTTAGAAACAGGTTTTTAGAATTTTTGACTACTTGTTTTATCGTTTTTCTTTTTATTAGGTGTGTGCGAGAATGGGAGCATCTATGTGTGCGCGCGAGAGACAGCTTGTGTATTTTTTCAATAAATTCGGTGGTCATTTTCTTTGCGTTACATATGCACTTTTTCGCGAAAAATTCGAATATTTTTATTTTTGCACTCTCTATGAGCCTGCGTTTTGTTTGGTTTCAACAGCCATTTTTTTTAATATACATATATAAATATATTATAAATATATTTGTTTTTTTATTTTTTTATATATGTACATAGCACATCTTTTGTGATTACAGAATATTTAAATGTTCTCGGCATTTCCGGTGAATTAGCTTAGTTACTAATATTGTTTTATTCTTTTCTAATTCGTTTCTGAAATTCACTATTTTTTAGCGTTAATAAGCTGTTTGTAATGTTGTCAAACATCTATACAGATGTTGAACAAAAATGGCTGGTCGTCATAGTTACATGGTCTTAGAAATGTAAATAACGTTTAGAAAGTTATTTGCAATAAAAAATATGACCAATATTTTTATTCTTTCGTACTTGTTGTTTTAAAATTTTTATTACAAAATTTGAACTAATTGTAACATAAACAAAGATTAGTTTTATTTAAAAAAAATCGAGTATCTCAAAATTAAACTCGACTAGGCATAAATTATTCAGCTAAAAGATATATTTCTGATCACATGAATTTAACTCCGGCTGCTTTTTACCTTGATTATTTTCCATCGACTAGATTTAAGCATTTTTGAAAATTAATAGAATCAGTTCATATATAAAAAGTTTTAATCAGAAAAAACTAGTGACAAAATAAAAATTATATATACAGTCCAACTGTATTTTTGTTAATTAATGTTAAACCCAAAAACTAGGTTTAACATTAATTGAAGTAACAAATTTGCTCAGCCGAATTCGATTTCAGGTAAGTGCAATTGTTCATCAACAACTTTGAATATTTAAAAATATCTATAGCGATTGGGGAAAGCTAAAATATATCTTTAAAAAAAGGAATGAATTTTAAAGTTTATGCTTCAAACCGTTTATATATTGCTTTTATAGATCGGTCAAAATCCACTCTGTAAAATGGCCAAAAATTAATTAAATCGTAAAAAAAAGTAGACAAATATACGCCACAAAGTCAATTTGTTTTTGCATAAAATTTGTATCAAATAAAAAACTGGCTAACTTGGTAGTAACCTAATTCATTTTTCGGTTTTTAGTTAACTTAATATATCATTAAGTTGATAATATATTTTTTATCATTTGCAATTCGAAAATTTATCAAAAACGTGTGTTTTTTTAATCATGAAATTTCCCCTCTTTAAAAAAAAATGAAAAAATTCTTAATAATTTTTCTTTCAAATGTTAATAAATTTTTTCAGAAATGTAAGTAAAATCTTATTTCCGCTTAGTGCCGTTAAAGGCTACGGGGAAGACCCTACCATGATTTTTGAAAAAATAAATTAAACTTTTAAATTTGTTTTAAAAAAATAGATTTTTTTTTGTGTTGTTATATAGTAATAGTAATATATTTAAATAAATCTTTTTAGATAACATGACCAATAATTAAAAAAAAAAAAATTATACAAAAATATATGGTTAGTAAAATTTAAAGTAAAAAAAAAAAGCATTTTTATTTCTTAGCGAGTAAGTTGATATCAAAATTGAGAAAAAGAGAAAAAAGATTGCTTTCATTTTAAAGTTTACATCTATAACAATTAGTATCTAAAAAGTCAGTATTTATAACTACTAAAGCACGAATTAATTAATAAACGTGCAGCTAGTCTTCAGCAAAAGATGTGCTGTTTGCAGCTATAGAAAAAAAGTACTTGTTAATCCTATTCTTAAATGCGTTAACTGATGGAATGTTTTTGTATGCTGACGGCAAGTTATTCTAAACATAATACGATTTGTAAAAAAATTGTGACGAATTCACGCATTATGACGTTGGAAGATGATCTGCAAATTGGTGTATTAATAATCTCCAAACCTTTTTCTAGTTTAAACTGATGGATCAAGTCTTTTGCGAGTTTTCAAAGTTTTAGAAGTCTCGTGCGAGTTTCTATAGTAGTAAAATTGAGACACCGAAATTTTTCAGCATAAGGTAAAATAATTAAATCATGAGGTACTTTTGTTGCTTTGTGAATTTTGTTGCTTTGCTGAATTTTTTTAGTTTCTTTGATGTCACCCTTTAAGTAGTGTATAGTTTACACCAAAGCTTCATCTCTCTTGAATGTTTTTTTTAATAGGCCGAGTATCATATTCGCTTTACGTGTTGCAGCCTGTATGTGTTGATTCCATTTTAGATCATTAGATATAAATACCCAGGTTTTTCTCAATGTCCGTTGCCTCAAGAGTAAGTGATGTATTTTTGGTTCCATAACTAAGGTCTATAACTTAACATTTTGTAATATTTGATTCCATTAGCCATTCCTTTGACCATTCTGTGACAATGTTTAAATCGTTTTGAAGAATCAGATAATCAGCATCGTGAAACTTAGGTCTCATTTCTTGTAATAGTTTAGTGTCTTCAGCATAGATTTTATCAACTGATTTTATCTTATTCGTTAAGTCGTTTATATAGATGGTAAATAATTTTGGACAAAGTATAGACCCTTGTGGAACTCCGCTTAGAACATCGGTCCAGTCGCTAGAGTGTTCACCTAAAGCAGTTCGCTATTTTCTCCTAATCAAAAATGACTCAATCCATTGAAGAACATTGAGAACGCTTTCGCGAAGTCCGAAAATGCAATATCGACAAAATTTCTTTTACAACACACTCCAATAAGTTATGTCCTTTTTTGGACATAAATCCATGTTGATTATGTGAGATGCAGCTCGTTTTTTCAAAATATTTAGTTACCTGTTCACTGATAATCTTCTCCATAACTTTCCATGGAACTGACGTGATTGACACTGGCCTGTAATTATCGGCATCAAGACGACTTCCTTTTTTAAACAACGGTGTGACTGTTTCCAAACTGTAGGTCTTGAGCCTTCGGACAGTGCTTTATTGTAAAGTAAAGTAAGAGGGTAAATTATTTGAGCTGCGCATTCTTTAAGTACTTTTGGACTTAGTTATCAGTACAAATAGATTTATTCGGGTTCAAATCTTTAAATAAGCTAGCGTCGCTTCAAAAATAATAATTATATTCTCTAACTCCTCTCGATAATGCCTTCTCTCAAAAACAGGTAACTGACTATTTTTACTATCATCAACAAAAACTGATTTGAAGTGTTCGTTAGGTTTGTTTGCGATATGTATTCCCTCTGTTAACTTTCACCTTTTGCATCAGATGCAGCACCAATAGATACATAAACATTCTGTTGCGCGTTAGCATAAGCGTTTATTCTTTTAAGATTTTTTTTATCTGATGCTATTTGTGCGTCAAATACTCGAACAGGACGTTTACATGCTTTCTGCTTTTGGTTTTTATACAAAAGTTATTTCAGTAGTAATAAAAAAAAATTCCATTTTAAAGTTATGAGATGTTTTCTTTCCGTGAACGAATTTTATTTTGCTCCTTTAAGAAACGTTTTTTCAGTCACAGACTTTCAAAAGGGGGTGCTTGAAATACACGTTCACCCTGAGTAAAGTTAATTTATTGAATTCTTCATTTAAAATGATAGAAATTTGTGCAACTACTCAGCGTAGCTAAAGCGTAAAAGTTAAATTAAAAAATTTCAACAAAATCTTATCTTTGACAATCTATAACTTAGGCGTTTAATGAAATAAATGAAAATTCATTGTTTAACACAAATACCTCGGCTTGTGTTTTGAAAAAATTACAGTACAATTATAATTTACAATAACTAATAATTGACAGTATTAAGGTATTAGTTCCGAATTAAAAATGTTTAAAGTTTATTTTTAAAAACAGTTATTTTTAAAAATTATTTTTAAAACTAGTTGATTTAAAGTTTTTTCAATTTTTTTATTTAAGAGGGGAAACTTCAAATTTTTTGAACACATGTTTTTGATAAATTTTTGAATTGGTTTTAATAAAAATCAAATTTCTGAATTATACTTATATGTTTTCAATTTAATAATATATTAAATTAATTAGCAACCAAGAAAAGGCAAAAAAAAGGTTTTTGCATAATAATTTTTTATTGTTAAATTCAATTCGAATGGATTTAATCATATTATAGGGTAGCCAGTTTTTTACTTGATTAATTATTTCCTATAAGTGTGACGCTTAATGAGTTGGTTTACTTTAAACTAATTTAAATAAAAGTAATAAACGTCCTTAATTTGGACATAATTATTGATAAAAAGAGCTAGAACTTTTACAAAGTGTTTAGTCAATAAATTTCCTTAAAAAAAGTGCTTTTTCACTCAAAGTTTTAATGTACTCCACTTAATTATTAAGTAAAAGTAAACAAAAAAATTATATTCTTTAAGAAATTTTTTGTTTAAATATCTTTGCTAAAAATATTTCAGCACCGAGCATAAAAATATCCTTCAAGAGTTTGAGATTTTACAGGTCTAAAAATTAAAGCTAAATATAGAATTTCAAAATTTACCGCAATTATATTTTTTTATATTATAACTAAATTATACTTTATAAATAATTTTACTCTTAACTTACATATAATTGATCGCAGTTTTATAAAGCAATCCCTTTATCAAATTTTGCTTCTTAAATTTGTATAACTTTTTGTAGAATTGTTATTTTTTTAAAGAATTTTGTACTATTGCAATACTATTTTTAGCCTCTTTCCAATGATATATAATAATCAAATATACAAATAGTTTGAAATTTTTATAGACGTAAATAGCCTTTGAGGTCGTCTATAAAGTACTAACATTTTTAGAAAAGAGGGGATCTACAAAAAGCATAAAATCAAGTAATGCGGAGGGGATCATCTATAAAAGTACGCACGCTCTAATTTAAAAAAAATTTCCTAAATAATGTTTTTTTTTCTTACAATAATTTAATATACAATTCATTAATTCATTAAGAAGGAGAGGGGAGTAGATTTGATAGTACGATTGATTTTTCAAAGCAAACGTACTTTTTATGGCGAGAGCGGGGCGAGCAGGACTTAAAAGTACTCATAGCAACAAGATATAGGGATAAGGGTTAAGTTTTTAAATTTTTGTCACAGGCACTTTATAGACGACCTCTTATGATGTGAAATGAAATCGATGGTGAACGAATACGATGCAGATTTTTAAAAGATACGCAGAATACGATGCAAAAAAGATGGAGGGGGAGAATATGATGAAATGCAGAATTTTTTTTTTTTTTTTTTTTTGTTTTGTTTCGTCACTATATATTTTACATACACTTAACTTTAATTTATGTATACATTTATAAATAAGATAAAAGT